ACAGTACAGTGCAGTACAAAGCGAGAGAACGCTAACCTTGCTCGAGGCGACTTCTGGCGTGGAGGATAGGAAGGCGGGTGGGGAGGCAGTTATTGCTTGGAGGGAGAGTCCCTCTCCCTACAGGAAGCCACGACCACGTCACGGCAGGGAAAATGGCCCCGGATCCTGTTCGTCACCCGATGCGGAGTTCACGGACGGAAGCAAAATTTTGCAAACAGTGCTGTTCGTGACCCGAATTGGTCATGAACAGAAGCGTTTGCGACCCGAGGTACCACTGTATATAACTGTATTATTATTATATTAAAACCTATATAGCTAAAAAAAAAACCCATTAATTTATTATACAAAAAAGACTATATAGTGATGAGAGAGAGAAAAAAGTATCTATTAGCTTTTTAATAAATCTTGCTAGAGAAGACTCTCTGAGAATCTTTATTTCAGTTGACGTGGTTATGAAGAGCCTGACAGGATATTTATGATTAAAAAAAAAAATCTTCCCCAATACAATGCCCTACAGATATGTCAGATTACTATTCCCATCATATACAGTCTGTGTGACCATATAATATTTGAAATATTAATATTTATCATTAGAGCCTTGCATGAGATCATGATGACTGACATGTACAAATACATATATGTGTCAGGCTATTTTTGGAAGTTCTCCTTTAAGTGATTCATTGACAGCAAGAAATGATAATAAAAGGGCCTCCTTGAAAGTAGTGTCCTAGTTCTGAAATATTTTTCCAGGAAAACTTGAAATGTGCGTATTCTGATATCATTTTGCTGCAAAAAGACCTTCTTATTTTCTAAATATTCTGACATCCACTGTCAATTTTTTTTAATGTTGTTCTATCATCTATTACTTTTTTTCTGCTGTTATATTGATTTTTTTTCTTTTTTTGAAAATTTTATACTACAGTTTTTACTTTAAAACTGTCCTCAGAAAGCTTATTTGAAAGGTGGATATAGTAACTAAAACAATACAAATAAATATTACCTGCAGAAAGGATTCTTCCAGTTTCACTTCTAAATCTTGTATGTGATTAATGGCTTTATTAACACATGCAGTTGGAGTATTTACAGCAGCACAACTACGTTGCTTGTTGGGAATGCCTACTGAAATATTTTCATTTATATCTAAAAAAATCCAGGATATTTAAATATTGTTAATCTTTCAATATATTTGTGATATCTACAATTAGATAGCTCTACACGTAGACATTCTGCTTGCATTGTTTATTCATAAGGCTAAACTATACTGACTTTTTTGGTTTGAATAATGTGCAAACTCACTCATTATGTGTATGAGCATTATGTGTAAACCTATCTATTATGACTTGTTTAACAAACTACCGTCAAAAAGCTGGCTTAATATTACCAATCCAAATGTGCATATTCATAATAGCCTACATCAACCTTCCCCAGCTTGAGGGTAGAATTCAACTCCTGAATTGTTAGCAATGAACAAACTGACTAGGGAATTCTGAGAATTGAAGTCCACACATCCAGAGGGTACCCAGATCGGGAAGGCTATGATCATACGTGTCAGCTAAGTATGTCTATCCCATAACTGGTCACTAATTATGAGGCAAAATTATAATTGCCAGATTCATGCAAGCAACCATGGCTGCAATGCTAGATTATACAGGGAATAATGTCAATATCATTCATTTGCTGATCAAAGTATTGGCTAGATCTGTTCACAGAATGCAATTTCTGTTTCTTCCCTTCTGAAAGATCCCTTGATTTTGGACATACCAGTATGGAGGAATCCATTTAGCCAATGGGGTTTGTTTTATTGCCAGGCAGAGATTATATAAGAAGTAAATAAATAGGAAAGCAAAATTAGAAATAATATCAAAAGACAGGCCCAGAAGAAATATATGGACAGCATACAAATGTATCAAAAGATACATTTTACAGTAAAGGCGTTTTAGAAAATACCAAGTTATATAAAGTTGAAAAAAGAAAACAAATACCTTCTGTTTTTTCACTGTTTTCCTTGGAATAGGATGAAAATAACTGTGTATCAGTCATTGTTATTCATAGTTTTTTGCAATCTAATTTTTAAAAAGACAGAAAGAAATAGAGAAATAAATAAATAAATAAATAAATAAATAAATAAATAAATAAATACACAAATTCAGACTATGTCAATCATACCTATTCCATTAATGAAAAATCTGCAGCTCATAACCAGTTCTTGAACACTCCAGGGAGATCCATCTACTTTTCCAAATTGCCCAACTTTTCAACCATCAATTGAGTGTACATGTTTTAGGGAAACAGTGGATTTCCTCAGGATTATTGGTTGAGAAGACAGGGTGAAAACCCTAGTGTGATTCTGAGGTGGAAAATAATATTGCCTGTATTAGGATTATTAAGTGAGAGGAAATACTAGTTCAAGGGGGATCTTGCTCCCACAAGTGATCTTTTAACCTCAATACTCATTCCTCTTTCATCTAATTCCATAGTAGAATGATTCTCCCTATGTCAGAATTGTAATGAATGAAATTAAAGCTTGTCTTTCCCAACACACACCTCCCCAGGAATCAGAATTGTTGTCTTTTGTTATCTTGACTGCATCTAGATGATGGGGTGGAAAAGGCTCTATGCTCACCATTTGCCAATGATACCTAAGAAAGTAACTATTTCCCTTTAATACTGTTAGCATCAGATAACAACTATCTTGATCCATACAGTAGGGGACAAGATTAAACTTTTCCCCTTCATTAGCATTAATAAGAGACAAAGGTGCTTTATCCTTGTTCCCTTAACAATGTCACTCCAGGGAGAAAAGGGGATTGCACATAGGTGTGTGGTTATAAGAGGAGATGGGTGTGTGAAATTGTTCCAGTACCATTTATCACCAAGCAGCCTCAGTTGTGTGATCAAGTGATCTTCAGAGCCCACTACAATTCTTAACTTAAAAGGACAGCTTAGCTTTGAATCAATTTTACTGAGATAAACTGGATTGAAGGTAGCATTGTTCTACCTAGTTCTATAGAATTATAGCATATCCAAGCCATGTACTCAAAGTATGAAAATTTCAATATGAAGTGAAATTCATATTTGTAGTTTTAAAATTATGACATTTTCAAGGACTTGTTCTTAAAACTGAGCTTCAAGGAATGCATATACTGTACATTTGAGAGGCAACTGTTTTATCAGTGCCTTACTTTCACTTTTTGCATTTTCAAAGCAAAACAGTTTGTATTTTAGAACAGCTGTTAGAAAAAGTGAAAAGTACATTTTATTTATTTATTTATTAAATTTGTATGCCGCCCCTCTCCCCAGTGGGTGACTTTGGGCGGCTCAAATTAAAACCCACAAACAATTAAAAATAAATACCACATTAATTAATTAAAATTAATTAATCAATTAAAGTAAAGCTATAAAAACAAACCCTATACATAAAAACTAAAAACATTCAAGATGACGGGGGGGGGGGCAAAATCAATTACCCCACAAGCCACTTCCACTCATGCAAGCCCCCATCCGGCTCCCAGGCATAGCCAGTATTTCATGCTCTTCCTGAAGGCCATAAGAGTAGGGGCACAACGCACCTCGGCTGGTAGGTTGTTCCACAGAGCGGGGACCACGGCAGAAAAGAAAATTTTGCATTAATTTTTCTTTATTTACAAAAACAATTAATCCCAAAGAGAAATACGGCCCAAAGTGGTTGATTTAATAAACAGCTTAGGAAAACCTTAAATAAATCAGAAGCAAAGTTACAAAAACACTATGATAAAATTGTTAACAAAGTAATCATGCTCTAGTTAGAGCATTCCACCACATTATAATGATCTGCTAGCTGCACTTGGAAAAATAGATGGAGAGATGCTTATATTCCTTCATTTCCACCTTGTTTTGTCCCCCACTTCTCCTGCAATAAGCATTTGGAGAAAGAATACTATGCTCAACCAAATGATTGGTCTGAATTCCTCCTGGGTTGGAAGGAGTATTAAAAATGACTGGTGTGCAGCACATCTATTTTTAGGCTTTTCAAAGGTACATTTTGGCCATGAAGGCTGAGAGAGAAGTGAAATCTTTCACATAAGCAAAACCCTTCTGAATTATCTTCAAGAGATGCTGCTGTAAGGTCTTAACAATAGGGTAATGCTGGTCGATGTACTCCTTCAGTTGTTGTTTCTTCCACTGCATCTATCTTTTTCCAAGTCAATCTGGACTGAATTACTAAATTAAGTTTTGTTCTATGTCTGCTCTTCTCACTCATAGAAGTAAGAGCTAATTGATACTTTAATAAATCTGAATGTCTACAAAAATTTGTAGAGCTAACAGAAATCTATTAGCACTCTGGTTGCTGTTTAAATACTGATAAAACATCCATCCATGTTGGTTAGCATAACACCATATATTAGGATGTCACCCCTCTCTATAGACATCTATGCTTATTTGCACAGTGCACAAGCTTGTGTTTTGGACAACTTTTTTTGGTTATGCAACAAATGACCAAATCAGCATCTCTTTTACATTTCTAATTTAAATACAGCAAATAAAATATGTTCAACATTTGTCAGAAAATGGGATTATATTTGTATTTGTCAAAAGACAATGCATAAAAATAAAACGTGCATAATAAAACATGATAAAACAGAATATTTTTAAAATGCATATTTTTCATCTTGTTAGAAAATCTTTATCAAATGTTTTCCTTTTATTTTAAATTACAAGTCAGTTTGTCCTTACATTTTAACTATTTTATCCTCTATTTTTGAGCAACAAAACAAAAAGTAGATAAAATAATTTTTGCTTAAGTATATTGTGCTTATTTCAGTATTTATAATTACTTTTTTTTATATTCTCTGCCAATAATTATTCACTGTTTTGCAGAATTGTAGTGACATGTGATTTATTCAAACATATGGAGCAATTAAACCAAGTTTCAATGTGCAGTTACTATGGAAACTAGAATATCTAAAAAAGTGTGACAAAGTAATGGCACCCTTTTTGCATCAATATGCCTTTTGTTTTTTTGTTTTTTCAAATGAGAATATGATTCACTTTACAAAAATGTTAAAATCAAAAATATATAAAAAGTTAATATATCTGCAGAAGACAAAATTATGACTTTTGAGCTGGCACAGGTTGACATTTTTCATTTACGTGAATGTTTGTTTGGAAGACATCATATAAGCAACTTATTCAAAGATAAATGAGAACCTGCATTGGGCAGCTAAAAAGTTGGGATGTTGCAAAAATCCATCAGGCAGAGTTGTAATACAGTACAGACAAAGTATCTAAGAATGCTTTAAGTCCAATTTGATTTGATTTTGAAGGATTATTCTTAACTTCTGGATATACAAGATTATACATATATGATATAACACTGATTCTCACTAGTAGAAATCAGCTGAATTGAATTTATATTTATAGTAAATTATTGTGAAAGTACAAAAACCTCCAATTTTTGTAAAATAAATTTATCCGCTGCTTCTATAGTGAAAATCTGCTGTCATCCTCTTACAACTGCTTATTTCCCCTACAAAATGCTATTCCTTCACCCCTGCACTACTCTGATGAGGCAAGAGATTAACTGTATGGAAGAAGGGAAGGCAAACTTGGGACAAGATCACAAAGAATAAAGTTATCAAGCTAGTAATCCTAGCCAGCTTAGCTGATCTCACTATATGGCAGTAAAGCTAGTATTTTCTACATCTCTGCTATTCTCTAGTAGTCATCCAGACTTTTGCAATCTTGATTTGGTAACCCTACCAAAGCTAGACAGAATCAAGCCTGGTTCATATTTGGATGGAAGACATGTGGAAATCAAGGGTTTAGGTTAGACTGCAACACTGATGAAAGATCTGAGAAGGCAATGACAATTCCTACTTGCATTTCTGCAAAGAAAATTACACAGGAATTTCCATGAAGCACCAGGAGATGAACTTGCCTGAAATGAGACTTTACTTTTAACCTAATGTTTGCCAGGATAATAGTAGTTCTGTTGTCAATGATACATAGTTAATTTTCATCTAGTACTATTTAAATTATTAAACTGGCAGTTAAATACAGGTAGTCCTCACTTAATGATGGTAATTGGGACCACAATTTCCACCACTAAGCAACATGGTCATAAAGCACATCACATGACCACGCCACTTAGCAACGGAAATTCGGTCACTTCTGATTGCTGTCATTAAGTGAATCCTGCAATGTCGATGAGCGTGACATCACATGGTTGTCATTTGTGACTTCCTGCTGGCTTCCCCACTGACTTTGCTTGCAGGAAGCTGACAAAGGTCACAAATGGCAATAACATGACCGTGGGACACTGCGGACCAGTCGTCGGTACCACTCGTTCAGCACCGTTATAAGTTCAAACAGTCACTGAACAAGTGGTTGTTAAGCAAGGACCACCTGTAACTCAGTTCAGGTTCCATAAAAAAACCCCTAATCATCTTCTGGTAAAGGCAGAAGGGTATTAGCAGCAGTCATTTTGTTTCCCCCCATTACCTGCTGACCAAACCATAACTGAACTGCTTATTAAAAAGCAGCTGGCAATCAGAAGTTTTGCTTACATCTCTTTTTACTAAGTTTAGAAATCTGGGAAAGACACTGCCTCTCATAAGCCTAAAAAATAGCTTCCTCCTCCCTCTTCCATCTCATCTCTTAGGAACACCGAAAAGAAAAATTATTATTATTATTACTATTATTATTATTATTCTATTTTTATTACACACACACACACATCTATATGTAAACACACAACACACACACACATATTACAAACACTCATTAGAACTATTACAACTTTTCTTAAAGTTCCATTTTGCAAGTGGTTCTTATGGTTTATCATAGAATTCATCCATATTTTCCACCACATCTTTAATAGGTGTGCATACTTGTTTTAACACTGATGTTCACTGAATATCCACTAATTCTAATATGTCATTTACTGGGCTACAGACAAGCCCATTCTTAGCAAAATCTTTTCTAAGTATTATTGCCCCTCTATTCCTTTCTATGGTCTTATGCTCTCAATAATATGCTATCCAATTAAATGATTTAAAAAG